CTGGAGCAGCTCAGGGCACCTTTTGCCTTTGTCCATTGGCAAAAAGTCGCAGGCAGAGCCGTAGCTCAGTCCCCAAAGTCATGGTCAGACATTTGATATCCCCTCATGAATCGTCTGATCCCCATAAAATAACAAATTCATAGAATGGTTTGGCTTGGAAGGGACCTTAGATCATCCAGTTCCAATCCCCCTGCTACGGGCAGGGACACCTTCCACCAGACCAGGTTGCCGAAAGCCCCGTCCAACCTGGCTTTCCACTGTGAGGTTTGTTCTCAGCAGTCTCTCCCAGACCCATTTCCATTCACCACAAGCTGGTTTTCATTCGTTTGGGAGCTGTTGGCAGCGTGCTTCAGGAAGACGAGGCAGTGAACCACCACCCAGAGATGACAATGTTCAAGTATTCGGAAGTGCTTTACCAAGGGCACGTAAATAACACGAGCTGGGAAAGTGAAATACCAGGTTAGCAGAGACGTAACTGGTCCCGAGCGTTTCAGCGTTTTGCCCGTGGTCATGCTATAAATGGTATCTGGAAGTTGAAGCTCCCTCCCATTATCGCGTGTCCTCTGCACGGCGGGTGCTGCTCAAGCCACGTTAAAACATGGTCAGTAAAAACCTAAAGCACATATATATTGGCTGGGGGGATGGTGGGTGAGGCGTGGCGTTGTCCGTTGGCAAGTGACCACAGAAACTCAGGCTTTGAGGGTGAAATTTGGAACGTGTTTTGGCTCTGAGTGGGGCAGAGGTTTGCCCTGGGTCAGCCCAAAGCCTGGGACCAGCTCAACCAAGCTCGGTGTCATCCCCAGCCCCCCGCCAGCAAAACGTCACTGTCAACACTGATACGGGAACTGTCTCCTGCCCCCTGGTCAGGGGGTTTGGGGTGATCTTTTTAAAATGGTTTAAAACAGTTGGCATGGTTTAGAAACCCACCAGCTGTTCTTTAACCCTTCTTGATGCAAACCAAGACGTTACGCATCGCACTCGCCCGTACTTTTCCCTGCGGGATTGCTCTGGACGCACCAGTGCGGGAGGTCAGTACCCTGCCCCAGGCTGAAATTTTCTCCTCTTAATTTCTGATACAATGGCCACTCCATGTTCCCCCTTTGTTCCTACATGTTTTAATGTTTTCTTTTCCCTGTAGTAAGGCACGTGGATGATGACAGAGGTTGTTTCCTACTGCATAGGGAGGATCCAGTGTAGCCGCTCTCAGACTTCCTTGAAAATGGAAACTAAAAAAAAGTGAAATTACTTTGTTCTTTTTTGGGGCCAAATCAGT